TTTTTTTTTTTTTTTTTTTTTTTTTTTTTTGCCGCTGCTGTTTTATGCTGTGACTGTCTTGTTCCCATGAGCAGTTTTCATCACTGTGAGCCCTCCGGCATCTCCAGCTTACAAAGCAACAGTTCCACTCTTCAGATGGGTCATGATGCTCAGTGGGCCATCACATCATTTTGATAAGAAAACAGTGGTGACTTTGAATCCTTGTAGGCTTTATTTTTGTAGATACGTTATCTTCTAAAATATTTGGGAAACTTTAATCATGCAGATGGCACGATTGCTTTGTAGCATCAGTACAGCTGATCTCTGTCCATATGTATATTCTGACTGTATTGTTTGTGTCCATCTTCTAGTACCTTACTGTGCATTTCCCAGGTGCTCTGATCATTTGGCCAGGAGACATCCAGCAACTTCCAGGATTCCAACTCTTCCACTGTAGAAACTTGAGGTTGCAACTCCATTTCATGTCCTACGTTTATATGCTGCCTTTCAAGATTTTATTCCAGCAGGTCTTTATCTCTCTCAGCAGTCTCTTCAGGAAACATGGGTCATTCTTTTTCTGGTCCTTTGGATTCTTTTCTTCCTAAAGAAATAAACCCATAAAATTTAATTTACTATTTTAATAAAATGCATCTCAAAATATTTGCTTTTCATTTTTCATCATATTAGAGTATTCCTAACATTTTGTATATTAGGATGGCAACTCTTGCATGCCATCTTAAAACTATGATCTATGATGATTATGATTTCTGATGAACAGGAAAGGCCAGTCTACTTGTGCTCAACATTTCATTTGTCGCTTTCACCCTGCGTCAGTGTACACAAGAGTTGAAACATCCATAAAATATATAGTTTTTACATGATTTAATTGAATATGTAAAACATTTTAGTGAAAGTATTCAACACCAAAAATAATTAGATTAATAATAATTTGTCTGATTCAACTGGTACCTTATTGTTTGCTACAAAACATAGTGTTTACTAAAGTAGGACTGCCATCTGCCTCATAAGTTTGTTTTCTCACCTCATTAAGAACTTTTAAATGCTATTGGTACAGTGTAGAGAAGAGGTGCCTGCATACAGCAGATTCTGGAGGGTGGTGGCCATACTTCCTCTGAGCCATGTGGCATGGTATAATGAATGATTCCTCACTTAGTGAAGAACCAGTTATTGAATATTTTTAGGACAGATATTACTCTCAGCACTCCACATATTTTACTTTATTCTCTTTACTTGATAACCCTACGACCTTGATGATTTCACCTCTGTCCAGAAATGAGGATACTAAGTCACAAAGAGGGAAGAGCCAGTGGTGACGCAGTAGTAATGGCTACATCTTGAACTCATCTCTTTTTAATTTAGTCACAAATTCATTTCTCTACTAATCATATGCTTAAGTAATACCAGCATGTAGCTTTTAAATAACTTCAAAGAGTCGATAACAGATTTTGAAGATAGATGGGGGGAAACTCTTTTTCAGTGGGGACAACAGAACATTCTTAAAGTACCGATGGAAGTACACTTAACTAACTTGCTATACGTGGATAGGAGAAATTAAGTTGGTACTTCATGGTATTAGTGTTGGTATAGTACACAGCCATAGGTTTTCCATCCTTGAAAACACCGCAATTTAAGGATGTTTGAAGACTGTGAGGGGACGGCACTGAACATGTGTACACTCTTTCTTGTCATTGCTCTTCAAACTGCACATCATTACAACTAAATATTATTTATTTTCCTGTCAGCATTTTAAGAAGTCCACATGCAATTTAGAACATATAGGAGGATATGTGTAGGTTATATACAGAAACTCCATCACTTTCTGTAAGGAATGTTAAGCATTGGCTGAGTTTTGTGTGTGAGGAGATTTACCCACCATTCACCATGAATGGTCGTGTACAACAATACATAACATGGGAAAAGTTGGTGGGAAAAAAAAAAAACATGCTTTTATCTCTGAGATTCTGCAGATTAAAATATTCTAAACTTTTCAAATTCTTAGTCCCAGGCTCTTTGCATCTTGCTCCTGTCTCACATTATTTGTGTACTTTGAATTTTATAATTCAAGTTGGAATGCCTAGGACTTCCTAATGTCCAGTGTATGCAAACTCACCTACTGCCAATGCTCCCATGTGTGTGTTGATCAAAACAACAATAATAAGAATATAATAATATATTATAACAATAATAAGAAAAATCCATCATCCACAAGCCAGCATGCTCATTGTTCAATGTCCCAGATTGGTTAGGATTTTCAAGCAGATTCAAATGGGCTTTCTGACTTTGTAGCCAGGGCAAGAGAGCTTCCCTTTGAGAGGAAATGACATCCTCCTAACAGAGATGATGGATATTTGGTTCACAGGAAACAACCCACGCTTACCTTGCTTGTGCAGTTCACTAGTGTCTGTGTGCCTTGGGAAACTGTTAGTAAGTGGATATTGAATTCTTCACTGATATTCATTTTAAGAAACTGATTCAACTTGCGAGCAGCACGATTTAAAAAAGCAGCTTCCTATTGGAAAAGAAATCAAAAGGGCTGGGTAAGAGTTTTTAGTTTGTCAATTAACAGAAAGCTAGAGCCTGTCCCTTAGTAAAGCCCCGCCTCCACCCCAGCTTTCTATTCTGGTTAATCACGTGACTGACAAGTAACAGGAATGAAACTGCTTGGCTCTGAGGAATCAGAACATGAAGTGCCTACACTTTGGTTTAATGATTATCTGGCTTTTAAATAGTCGTTTCTCCACTACGTACATGTGGCTTTATTGTTTGTGGGTGAGCACATTGCAAGACTATATACTTTTAACAGGATAACCAAAGAAGAAGGCTGCTGGAGACACGAGCGAGGAAAGGTATGTACGGGTTGTCTTGCTACCATTTTTGAAAATTAGAGTTCTGGAAGAATAGCTGATAGTAATATAAAAAAGGAGAAAGAAAAAGAAAAGCCGTGTAACCTAAACCATAGGCTTTTCTGATAAATTAGTTAATAAATGAAAAGAATTGATGGTTTTGTGATACTGTGGTGTTAATAGCTATGTTTTGTGGGAAGAATATTAAAGAGCATCTCTTTTTCTTTGGGGAAAATTACAAACTTAAAAGTTTTTTTCCATTATAATTGACCAACTAGAGTTGATTTGTGCATAAACTTCAGCAAATACTAAAACAAAAATTTCAAGTTGTCTAAAACTAGTGACTTGGTGTGTGTGTTTGTGTGTGTGTGAGTGTGTGCATTGCAATCACTTTAACAAGACCTTCATACATTTTTTTTGGTGGAGGAGACATTTGTTCCTTAATATTCAGCTTTTAGTATTTTCAAGGTAAAAAACAAGAAAGTAGAAGATCAAATTATTTACTTTTTAATCTATCATAGAGAGGATATTGGTAAAATTAACATACAATAGACCACAGTATAATATGATAGATGAATAATAATCCTGTCATTAAGATAAAAAGATTGTGGCATTTATTTCATTATCTAACCAAGTCTGTGTAAAATCAAGCTCATATGATAAATTCCAAATTATCATTACCTTTGCATCATCACATGGATGTTTTTTAAAAAAGTTTGGTTCTTTATTTGGGCAATTGTTACCATTTCCTGTCATTTTGTCCTGTAATAAATAATATAAAACAATATGGTTAACACTGAGGATGTCCCTAGCATAGTTGCAAAATGACATTTTAATATCAGGTATTAATATGAACACTTTATGGAAGGTAAATTTGCCTGATTCTACTAACAAGGCATAAGAATAGTGTTCTTTACATGAAAAATAAGGAAACATGTACAGGATCACCTCAAATAAGATTCAGAAACTTTTAAGAACAAGTTGAACTAGCTCTGTCCAACAAACTAGCAATACCAGGCGCTTGTACTTTTCCAAGACTCCAGACAGCTTTAGTTGGGTTGATATTGTGGGAACAGTAAACAGAGCAAGGACAAGATATTAATAAATGGCTTGTGATGTTCGTCTGCTACTCAGGAAAGTGTAGATTGTTCTTATTGCTTGCACAAAGATGAGAGCTTTGCTGGCTTCAAAATACATGTTTTACTCTTTTACCCATAAACAGTTGTGCCTGAATGATGGAGGAAGGACATTGGTTAATTATAATAAAGAAACTGCCTTGGCCCATTTTATTGGTTAGAACATAGGTGGGTGGAGTAAACAGAAGAGAATGCTGGGAGAAAGAAGCTTAGTTGAGGAGTCGCCATGGTTCTCCCACTCCAGAAAGACACAGCTTAAGATCCTGCCTGGTAAGCCACCTCGTGGGCTACACAGAATATTAGAAATGGGTTAGAACAATATGTAAGAGCTAACCAATAAGAGGCTGGAACTAATGGGTCAGGCAGTGTTTAAAAGAATACAGTTTCCGTGTAATTATTTCGGGTATAAGCTAGACATGCGGGCGGCCGGGTGCAGGGGACGCAGCCCCGCCGCTCCTATCACTACACCTGGACACATAATTGTTTAAAGATTCTGCACTTAGTGATGACCCTTGTTCAAAGTTTTCTCCACACCCTGAATTGAAGCTAATTAGGGAATAGTGACCTTGTTTCCTGTGGTATTTGGTGCATGGGTCACTCCTTCTTAGAGCATAGAAACGTCTCACCTTTGGAAAAGCATGCTTTGGAGATGTGTCTGTGCCAGCCATGCAGTATGTAGTTCATGCTCTAAACATGACAGTTGCAAGACATGTAATTCCTAAAACTATCCTCGAATTATAGATAAACATAGTAAGAACTTATTTGTTTATTAAGTCATTTTTCTGTCACCTTTTATTTAATCACAAGAATAACATCAAATTGTATATACAGTTTTCTTTGGTTACACATAAAAAATCTCATATGAAATACATCACCCAGTTAAATTCTTGAAGCATTGTAGCAAATTTCATTACAGTATTTTTGAATTCTTTTTGGTTAGGCCAATGCTCTGGAAAACTAATACAATTCAGCTTTGTATGCCTGCAAAAGAGGATGCTGTACTGACTGAATTGCTTGCCACAAGTTTGACCAAGAACTATGGCACTATACTTTTAACATGGGCATATAAGATGTCAGAGCTGCCTTCTAAAGCTGTTAATCAAGGCCATCAAGAGTTTTAGTATTCAGGCATCTGTACTGATCTGGCCTTGGGGTCCTGCAGGACATATCCTCAGCTGTAGCCACTAAGAGTACCTTCTGTGTACATTCGTTATGTTTCTTTTGTTGTTGTTGTTTTGATTTTTTTGGTTTAATGTGTGTGTGTGTGTGTGTGTATCTTTTGCTGTCCTGGAACTAGCTCTTGTAGACAAGGCCTCGAACTCACAGAGATCCACCTGCCTCTGCCTCCCAAGTTCTGGGTTTAAAGGTGGGCCACCACTGCCTGGCTCATTATTTTCCCTTTTAAAAGGTAGACCTTAATCCTATCTGGAAAAGCCAAAAAAAAAAAGGGGGGGGGACCTCTTCTCTCTCTCTGTCCACCTCCCCCTCTCTCTGCCTCTTCCCTTCTGATCTTGTATCCACAGAGGTCGGTCTCCCCTCCCCCCTTTTCCCATTCACTTTCCCCCATTAAAAAAAATCCATCCACCTGAGCTCTGTCATGTGGCATCTTTCACTTTCCCACCGCGTTTTAAAATAAACAACAAAGAGCAGTTCTGAGTATGAATCCATAGCAAAAGAAAACAGTTCCTTTCTCGTGATTTAGCAAGTACCAACATAATAGATTCTTATAGGCATTTTGGTTCATTTCAACATTATTCCACGTTTATATTAAATTTGGAAAACCCATAACAGATGTGTCAAAACATTGTGAGCTATTGTTTGAATTTGTTCCTAGAAAAGGTCTTTGATTTCATTAGGTTATACCTTTCAGTTTTATTTCTATTACTTGTTTAATCCTCTTGTCTTAATTACTTTTTGTTGTGAAGAGACACCAGGATCAACACAGCTCATTTAAAAGACAGTATTTAAGTGAGGGGCCTGGTACAGTTTGAGAGATTTAGACTATGACTACCATGACAGAAAGCAGACAGACAGGGCAATTGGAGTAGTGACTGCAAGCCTCACATCCTCATCCACAGGAAGCAGGCAGAAACTAGGCCTGGCGTGGTACTTGAAACCTCAAAGCCCTCCCTCACCTCTCCAACAAAGCCACAGCTTCTAATTTTTCCCAAATTATTCCACCAACTGAGAACTAAATATTCAAATATATGAGCCCATGGGCTGGTCTCATTTAAACCACCATATTCCACTCCCCGGTCCCCATAGGCTTGCAGCCACCTCATAATGTTAATCCAGTCCAACTTCAAAAGTCTCCATCGTCTATGAGCCTCAGGACTTTTAACATTCAAAGTCCTGAATCTCTTTGAGACTTAAGGCAATTTCTTAATTGTAAAACCCTGTAAAAGCAAAAATCAAAATACTGATCACATACTTCCAACAACAGCGGCACAAAATATACATTACCAGAGCACAAGGGAGGAACAGGAACATATTAATGAACCACTGGACCAAAGAAGGTCTGAAACCCACGGGGCAAACTCCAAATTCTGTATCTCTCTGCCCAACGTCAAAGGGCTGAATAGATAGCTCTTCCTATCTCCCACACCTTCCAGCTTTGCTGACTGAAAACACCCTTATCTTTCCTGGGCTGGTTCCACAGCCCGTGTTGCTTCTGCTCATGACAAGTACCCCAGGCCATAGCTTCTCCAGCATTTTGGCATCTCCATCACAACCCAAGCTTCACCTTCACGGCTTAGTGCAATGACTTCTCTGGGCCTCTGTGCATGGACACCCTCGCCACATGCCTCACCTGAACAGCTTTTCTAAACCACGGAGGCAGATTCCATAACCCCTTTCCGGTATTTTTCTTGACTAAAGCCAGAAGAACTACTGTTTGCTAGGGTTGGAATCTGACTGTAAAGCCAGAAGTTCTCCTACTTGCTGGCATTGGAACCTGGCTCCTCCTCGAATTACATTTGCATAAACCTTCCCTTATTGTTCAGCCAAGGAAATTCTTGCAGGATTAGCTGGGAGGGGTCTTGCCTGGAGGTTACCCCTCTCTTTATTCTGTTCAGCATCGGGCCTTTAAGCTTCTCATCTGCTTGAGCCCCAATACTAAATTTTTTGGTTCCATTTTCCTCCTCAAACTGTGAATTTTGTATTTCTCTTAGCAGTGTTCTCTTCTCTTTGCTGTAGATATGCGTGAGTGATCACTTGGCACGGTTGGTGCTACGCCATCTTGAAATCTCCTCTGCCAATGCTATTAATTTAAAATTCTTCAGTTTAGCCTCAGGTGGATTTTTTTTTTGACAAGGGCAGAAAGCATCTATAGTCTTTGCCAAAATATCAACAAGAATGATCTTTAGTGCAACTGGTGTTCTCTGAAATTCCTTGAGCAATGTCCACATAGTTCAAATTGTCCTCAGTTCTACTGTCTTCCATATTTTTACCACAATGGCCTATTAAACCCCACTTAAACATTTAACTGACTTTTCTTGTCCAAAGTCTCACTGTTATCAATCTTCCGAACAACAGCATGGTCAGGCCTGGTATACCTTTATTTACAAACACTGATCATAGCATATACCCTCTATATAATTTTAAAAGTGTATTTATTCTTTAATTACTTTGCTTTATGTGCTTTTCTACAAAATATTACATATGATTATTTAATGAGGCTCTAATTTCCAATTTATAATTTAGTCTTTATTTTCCCCTGAAAATCTAAGGAGCTCAACATTCTTCCAATATTTGCTTCTCTAATATTGTATTAATCTGGGCTCATTTTATGTTAGTTTCTTAAAGAATGTTAAGAAGAAAAACTTTAGCATTTTCTACTGCTTTTCTGGGTAATCTATTTGTTCAGTGTGCATGTAAGAGAGTACATTTGTGTTCTCACAACAGCATGCGTCTTTCCTGTCAGCCATGAGACCAGAGACTGAACTCATGTCTGTAGGCCTGTACAGAAGTACCTTTACACAGTGAGCCATCTCATTGGCCCTAATCTTTTTACTTAAATTCTTCCAGTCTACTTTGCTTATGTATTGTGTTTGTTCTTCATTTTTGGAAGAATCAATAAATAGTACTTCGGACTTTCTATGTGGATGCTAAAGCTGATTAGATCATTTTTCAACTAATACTTAGAAGTGCCTCCCACTTCATGGGGGAATGGGCCCACTTCCTGTGGCTGCTGTAGCAAATTACGAGAAGCATGTTGATTCAAAAAAAGAAAGAAAGAAAGAAAGAAAGAAAGAAAGAAAGAAAGAAAGAAAGAATTGCTGTCACATTCCTAGAAATAAGAAATTTAAAATCAAAGTATTGGCTGAAGGGTCTAAGGGAGGATCCATACTCTGGCTCTTCTATCTATTGCTGGCTGCCAGCATCCCTAGAATTCCTGCCTTATATTTGTGTCTGTCTCTGGTGTCTCAGCTTTCTGTTTTATAAGAACATAGCAGAGTTCCTCTGATTTGTCCAGTATAATTGCTCCATGTCAAATCTTTGATTTAATTACATTTTCAAGGACTCCTTTACCATAAATTTCCAGGGACTAGAATTTGGTATGTGTGAATGACATAATTTATTGCAGGGAAATATATTTTTTGCTCATAAATATTGGATTTGACCTAA